CAGGCTCCGGTCGCTCCCGCCTCCCCAGCGGTACCCGCGGCCGCAGTCGCGCACCCGGGCAGGCTCGGAGGAGCGAAGGTGAGCCGGGGCCCACGAGCATCGGGGGGCGGGAGCGGGACCCCGGGGCGCGGACCCTCCCCTCCCCAGGGCGCGGACGCCCTCACGGCGCCGCTCCCCTCCAGCCAGCCCCCCAGAGCATGCACCCCAGCTGCCCCAGCTGGGTCCCCACCTCAGGTGGGACCCCTTTCTTTCCAAGCAGGCCCCGCCCCACGGGTTGGAGCATAGCCCCCTCCCCATATGGATCCCTCTTTCCGCTGCAAGGACCCCCCCATTTCCCTATCGGGGAGCTCTTCCGTTTACATTCTCCGAGTCAGGCGCTCCTCTTACTCCCACCCCAGATCCAGGAGCCCCCTCCAGGCCCTCATCCTCTACCTTTCAGCTTGGAACAACCCCGCCCCACCTCCCGGAGCACTTTCCTCCCCTCCTCGGGCCAGGCCCCCCTTTCCTCCGGAGCCGAGCCCGATCTCCCTCCCGCCCCCGTGCACAGCCGAGCCCCTGTTTCCTCCAGGAATCGGGGGAGGGGTCCTCTCTGTCCAGGATCCCGTCCCGTGCCCCCTCTCCTTCGGGCTGGAGCGGGGCCCTTTTCCCTCCCCAGGGACCAGGTTCTCCCTCCCCACCCCCGACCCCCACAGCACAGCGGGGACGGGGGCGGCCGAGCCTGGCTCCAGATGCCTTTTGTTCCGCGTGGGATGGCAGAGACCCCGCCCGGCGGTCCCGTTCGGCTAATCCGGGTGGGTGAATGGGTGCGTGGGGGCCGGCCTCTTCAAGGAGACCCTTCCTCTCTGCCCGTGGGGCGGCTCCCCCCGAGCAGAGCGCGCTGGGAGAGGCTGGCCCTTCCTAGAGGAGTCCGTGCCAACAGGTTTTTGTTTGCGACCTGAAGTTGGCCCAGTGGCTTTGCGGAGGGGTTGGGGAGGGTGGGGGCAGCTTGCTCTCCCCAGAAACCCCGGCAGGGGCCTGTGAAAGTCCATTCCGCCGCCCAGGGGCACGGCCTGGGGTCCCTTCACTGTTTTGTCCTGGGGACGCATCTGAACTCTGTCCTTTTAAGAGAGGACGGGGCCTGCGCATGTTGGGGTTCATATGGGGGAAACTGAGGTTCCAGAGATGCAGTGATTTGCCCAAGGTCATGCCGTGATACTGTGTCACTGACAGAACTAGAAGCTTGGTCTCTGGGGTGCTCTCTCCGCACATTTTAGAATTTTTTTAGAGAGATCTTCAGGATAACACCCCCTCCTCCCTTTTATTTTTAACATTCACACAAGATAATGGGAAAGATGTGAAGTGTCGAGTTCTTCCTTCCTACCTCAGAAGAATGCCCTGTGAAAGAAAAGGTTGGAACAGGAGGTTAAAAGGATTGAAAAAGGTGAATTTTAATTACTCCCCCTCCTCCCAATTACGTAAGATAATGAAGATTTGGCAGAAAACATGTACATCTTGTAGCTCTAGATACCAGATGATAGGTGCTGGCAGAATCATATACTGAATCCTGCACAGCAGCGATTGAGTTTGCACTGATAATTAAGTTTTTTCATCTGTATTTAAATGAACATCAGAAGGGACTTACAGTTTTTTTTTTTTCCTGACTTGTTCCATTGATTGTATTTGAGATCGGTGATGGTGTCAGAAGCCACCAAGATCTGCTCTTTATCTGTATTTTTACTTTTATATTTTTAAAGCTTACTAGTTTCTTTAGTTTTAATATGGGCTTGGTCTTGTTACCACTGGGCTTTTCTTCTTTTTTTTTTTTTTTTTTTAAAGATTTTATTTATTTATTTGAGAGAGAGAATGAGAGACAGAGAGCATGAGAAGGAGGAAGGTCAGAGGGAGAAGCAGACTCCCTGCTGAGCAGGGAGCCCGACGCGGGACTCGATCCCGGGACTCCAGGATCCTGACCTGAGCCGAAGGCAGTCGCTTAACCAACTGAGCCACCCAGGCGCCCTGGGCTTTTCTTCTGTAAGCGTTGAAGGAGAGAGATACTGGCTTGTAAAGAGTTGGGTAAAGTGCAAATTATTGTAAGACACGATACAGGATTGTATCCCACAGGGCCCTGGACCAGGAGCAAGTTTGGATGGTCCTGTGGGATGTACTGAGCTCTCCCGGTTTACACAAGCTTTCTACCTCCTTGAACCTTGAGTTTGACAGATGGGAAGTTCGGTGGAGAACTCTCGCAGCAAGGTGTGTTATGTCAAACACGGTGGCTGGTGTGTGCGGAAATGTAACTTGCAAGTGATGATACCTATGTATGCAGCCTTGAAAATGACCCATCCCTTGTAAAAAAAAGCTCTTGTAGAAATATAATTGATGCCTGTTAGTGTAGCTGTCTTCCATGGTAACGTGCGGATTTCCTAAGAGTTGGGATTCTGATAAGAGTCCTACAAAAGTAGTTTTAGTTTAAAAGGGTTTTTAGGACTTGTTTTAATGGCTTGGCTCTTCCAGAACTTAAAGAGTGAGCTTTTTTTTTTTTTTTTTTCTTAAAAGATTTCATTCGGAAGAGGGTAACTTCAAGTTCTTTGTGGACTAAAGTGCCAAGAAATTTTCATGCGTGGAATTGTCCCTTTCATACTCTTGGGAAGCGCATTAAAGTTTTTAAGGCTTTTTGGCAGTTGTTCCTTCCGTCCCCCGGAACCTTCCTGTCGGATTGATGGGGCATGGATGACGGTGGTGGTTGTCATTTCGTGGCATGAGTACCTGGTGACTGCGAGTCTTGCCGAAATGAAAGGGCTTGCGTTTGGGGAACTTGAGGTTGGTGGGAATATGAGGAATTTTCTAGTTCAAACTCTGTCCCCCATTTGTCTGCTGAACTTGCTATTCATGTGTCCAGTTTAAACGAACGTCTTCTGTCAAGCCTTTGCCAGCCAGCTCCACCAGTGTTTGGGTCCCTCAGACTCTTCTCTCCAAGCCTCACCGCCCCCAGGCTTTTGGAGCACTTAATCATAGGATCTCTGTATCTGGGGCATCTGAGACATCTTCGAGGCCACCTCAGTCTCTGACACATGGGAGATGCTCAGTAAAATTCTGGGATGTGAGTAGTCCTGGGGGCCGAGGAACAAACTTTTATTGATCCCCTACCACAGGCTCTACTGTTCTGTCTTTGCTCTTGCAAAAACCACTACTGTTAGCCCGACAGTCATACGTCATATGGGTATGTCATGTTATGTGACACATGGGTATCATCAGCCACAGGCATATGAGCCCCCTTCTGCAGTTGAGGAAACTGAGACCCAGAGGCTTAAGCCATGTGCTCAAGGTCACACAGCTAGTAAGTGATGGGGCTGGGATTCGAATGGGTTTGTTGGATTGGAAAATACTCTTACACGTGCTACCTCATTTGAGAAACTGAGTCTCACAGAGGTGAGGAGACTGGCTTCAAGGCCTACTGCAGGTTGACAACGGACGAATGCCGTGGGATGATGTAACTAAGATTGTCGAGGGTGGGAGAGAGCACATTTTGTTTTTGTCAGCTGCATTGTGAAATGACTTTATGTTCATCTTGTTGAGTTGTTGAAAATTGACAAACTTTCTGATAACTTTGTCAATGGAATTTTCTTTGGTTTGATTTAGCTTGTTCGGGGTGTCTAAAAATAGAAACTTAGAAAAACAGATAGAGTGAAATAAGTGTTGGGGCCCTTAAGTGAGTGTATTCAGTGTAACCCATCTGTGGACTTTTTGACTAGATCTGTTTTCCTGTCATGTGGTTAAGTTTTTTATGTCTTGAAATGCAAAGTTGTGTCAGCAGACTTTATTATTATTTTTTTTAAATATAATTTCATTTTGTCTTCACATCAACGTATAACATAGGAAAACAAAAACGGGCTGTCTGTTCAAAGTGTCCTATTCTTGATCTCAGCTCAGGTCTTTAGTGTCCTATTTTGTTTTAATAAAGATTTTATTTATTTGTCAGAGAGAATGAGAGAGCACAAGCAGGGGGAACAGCAGAGGGAGAGGGGAGAAGCAGGCTCCCCACCAAGCAGGGGGCCCGATGGAGGGCTCGATCCCGGGACCCTAGGATCATGACCTGAGCGGAAGGCAGATGCTTAACCATCTGAGCCACCCAGGCGCCCCGTTTTGTGTCCTATTCTTGATCTCAGCTCAGGTCTTGATCTCAACCCCATGTTGGGCTCCACACTGGGCGTGAAGCCTACTTAAAAAACAAAACAAGAAACAGCCAACCGTACAAGATGGGATTACCCCACCCATCTGCCAGTGGAAAAACAGAGGCAGGCCCAGAGAGGGAAAGTAACCTGTGAGGAACTAGCACAGCCAGAAGTCAAGCCAAGGTCTGTATAATTCCCAAACCTGGCTTCCTACCCCACCAGCTCCTGTATAAAGCCCCTCAGTGTTAGGTGTACTCATTTAAATTATAGGATAAATTTGCAGTCTTGAAAATCACCACCAAGTCTATGTAGAAGGCTGGGAATGGTGAATGAGATTTCTTTTTTCTAACCTGGGATCTGTGAAAGCACTGTGGGTTGAATGTCAGGAGTTTAATGAACCACTTGAACTGATAGACGCCAGATTCAGGGTTAGATTAAAAAAAAAAAAAAAGGCCTGCCTCCTTTGAACCAGACCCGCAACATTGTTAAAATGCTCCGTGTACATGCGTTGGATTCTTTCTGGTGACTCATTCCCAGCATCTCCACGTACTTGGAACCTTTGTGCCTGGGCACCGAAAAGCCTTCCTCTCGGTCAAGGCTGCACTCTCAAGCGCTCTGGAGACAGGATAGGTAACTTCCTTCTCTTTCTATTCAAAGGAGTGCTAGGCAGCGGGTGCACAGAGGGCTGTAAATGAAGGGACTCCCCCACCCCCCCTTCTCTTCATGGCAACCCCGCTGAAAAATGGAACAGGGAAAAGCAGGCTCGTCCTGAGGGATGGCCGACCGTCTAGGGCTGATGCATGATGTGGATTTAAAAGCATCTATAATTAATCACTTCTGAGAGCAGGCTTCATCCTTCCTCTCACTCCCACCCTTCTGAAGCTAATGTCATCGTCACATCCCGGTGGCTCAGTAACTGAGGGCACC